TGGAAACAGCTGCAGAGCAGGTTGAGGAAGAAGATGCGAGAAAAGAAGCAATGACGAAGCCAAAAAGGATGTGGAAGCCTTCATATTTGCAGAAGACTCCTTGTTTTTGTTAAATTTGCTTAAAACTTCTAGTTATGTAAAACTTGTTTCTCTTGTGCTAAGAAAACTGAATTTGTTGTTGTGTTTAATTTTAGCAATTTGTAGATATTAGGTATAACTAATATTACTAGTTTTAGTAAGATCAAATTGTTAAAAATGATACAACTAGTACAACTAGTAGAAAGATTGAAAATATGAAACATGTGTGAAACCTGAGACACGAAAAAATATCATTTGTAACATGTGTGAAACATGAGAGACAAAAAAAAATACATTTATAAAACGTGATAAACATGATAACCGTGGTTAAACATAAATAACACATAGTCGTACCATTTTATGTAGTTGTACCGGTATGTAGTTGTACCAGTTAATAAGTTGTACCAAATTGCACATAGTTGTACTTTTGGAGCGAAAATGAAAAACTTAGTTGTACTAGACATAACTTATGACTTCTTCAGTTGTACTACTTGTTTATGTATATTGGCATGAGCCCAAATATTCTGAATGCTACTATATTTGCAAAATACATTCTATGTATCTTTTTGAAAATAATGTGGACAAACATGTAAACAAATCCTAAAAGTATAAGGTAGATGAAGCAAACATATGTGATGGTGTAATAAATTTTCAAAAATTTTGTTAAAACTCTTTATAACTTAATAGAAACCATTCTAAACACCTATCCCTTTGGCCATTTGATTTATTTTCCATAATAAGCTCCATATGTGATCTTTAAAATCATAAAATTGAAAAGTTGTACAAGTTATACTAGTATTTCCTACCTGATGTATATAACGTAGTAGTACTACTTGTACTAGTACCACTTTGTAAGTTCTATTAATTGTACCAGTGTTACGACATGTTATATAAGGATTTACCAGTTCTACTAATAGTACCTGATAGAAACAACACATTATGAATTTGTTTCATAGAAACACATAAATAACATCCATACTAAATAAATAAGTTCTACAACACATAATCAAGTTCCATGACACATAAGTAAGACTCATTCAACACTTCCCTCGTTGCAACCTCCCTCGTTGCAACCTCCCTCGTTGTCACTTTCCTCATTCCAACTTGCATCAATCCGAACGCAAGTATGCATCTTTCGATATGTCCTTCTAGTGAAAAACTTCAAGTTATGCAACTTTGCAGCTCGTAAATACCATTTGCAACCAACCCCCACGACATTTTAATACGTAAAGTCGAGGCTTAAACTTTACTATATAAACCTCAAAACAATTCTTGTGCACAACTCTATCTTCATTTTCCTGCTTATTCTATCAACCAAGTGAGAATAAGTCACCTCCTCATAACTTCTCTTCAACACTAAAGTAGAAATATGTAGGTCTTTCAGATTCCATCAAACTTCATATCCCACATATGAATAAGTACCCCCACCCCTGATTAAATTATATCACCACATTTCGGCTATTATCCATAGTTACTTGAAAAAAGAACCAATATTATTTAATAGTTGTACCAGTTATACTAGTTCTACACATATAAGTAATGCCAGTAATACCAATTGTACCAGTTACACTTGTTTCACATGTTACACTTCGTGAACCGTTATACTACTACTACTACTAGTTATGCTACTTTTACTTGTCACAAGACTACTAAGAGTTATACAAGTTGTACTAGTGAATATATTATATACGTAATTAATAGTTGTACATGTAAGACTAGTTGTCTTGAACAATGGTTGTAACACTAGTTGTACTAGTTAAACAAGTTGTTGATGTTGTCCTAGTTGTACCAGGGTTACCATCATCGATAAACAATTTTCCTTTACAAATTCATGATTCAACTTATATTTACATGCTATTTAACCTCAAAATCACTCTCATGGGAACCTCATGGTATCTAACATGATTCAACCGAATCTTACTTGAGAGAGAGAAAGAGAGTGAGAACGTGAGAAAGAGCAAGAGAGAGAGAGAGAGACCCAAATTCAACACTGTCCAAAATGAAAGAATGGTCAATATGCTCTCTTAGGATTCGTCCAACTTTTGTCTCGTTCAGAAAGCAAAAAAAATGAGAAAAAGATGAAGTGAGAGTTTTGTTGTTGAAGAATTGAAAAGGAAGAAAGTATGACTCTTGCACAATTGAAGAAGAAGGATGCGGATCCCAGTCCAAGGAGAGAAGGAGAAAAAATCGGGTGGTTAAGATTGATTTCATCTAAAGGTGGAGAGTTATCCTTCATTAAGGGTATTAAGATAATTTCCTCTACTTGGGGCCATATAGATTGATTGTGGTTGTAGTAGATTTGATTGTTGGCCTAGAGAGCCACTAGAGATCATCGTCCGTTTTATGTTAGCTTCTTTTGTTTTTGATTTTGGATTGCGTTTACTGTCCATACAGTCATAGAAGCTTTGCTGACTCAAATAAACCCCATCACTAAAACCTTGTTAAGCTCAAATATACATCTGAATTTTTTTGCACCAAACTGAACACTCAACTCATGCTACTTGGCGTAAACTCATGAGGCACCACATGGTGATGAACATTTGATCGGAACTGCACTTCCCGCAATAGAAAAACGAAACAGATGGCGGGAAGAACCATTTATACATGTTTTTCGCATAATAGTCAGCTCTTTTGTCTTAGGCATTAACTTTAAAACTTACAGTTACATGAGGCAGCATCAACAAAAATATCATCAATATCTTCTCAGCAGATTTTAACCAGTTCACAACCGGCATTACAACACACTGAATCGAAGTTATGTTGTCAATGATAGCTAACCTAACCGAGGGAAGAAAGGTAGATCTCTCTTTTCTTCTTGCTGGTTCTGAAGCTTTCACTTTAGCTTGTTTCAGAGGGAATGTTTTGTCTGTCAAGTCTTGCAAATTGTGGCCAGGCCTGAAACATTGCATGAAAGCACACACTTAAGTTAGCTACAAACTTGGTGGTTGCTAAACAAATACAAAAAAAAATCTTGAAGAGACATGGTGTGGACTGTGGAGCTGAAACATAGGACAAGATTCGCTTACTGAAGCTGGTCCAATGGGGTACCACCGAGGTCTATGTTGCATACTAGAAAAGACTCTATCTAGTCCTCTGTGATTTTCTCATAGATGCATTTCCTACAAACTGCATATATTAGAGTAAACTCAGACTGTTATTTAATTTCAATCTCAATTAGATAACAACAATCCTCTTAGAACACGATGTCTTCTTAATCAAATTTAACCAACTTTAATTACATACCTAACCAAGGAAGAAATAATATGAATTGGGCACATATAATCATCAACTTGAGAGGAACATTGGGTAGGTTAAAAACAGGAACTGACAAGAGTGAAGGCACTCAGAGATAATGGTGGCGTCAAGGAGGATACTGTCGCAGAGAGGGCAGTTCAGGTATGCCGTTATCGTCTCCCTCTTCACCTCCTTGGTAACCATCTCTCCCACCTCTTTCTATCTTCTAGGACTCAATCAGAGAGTCACCCACCTCAGAGATAATGGTAAGACTACTGATAACTCAAAAAACAAACAAAATCAGAAATCAAACTGACATATCTCAGAGAAAATAAAATCATAAAGAGCACCCACCATCCATTTACTAGATCTTCCTTTGACCTGCTTAGACCTTAAACATGTCGTAGCCTAGAACTGATTGAAACCATAATCCCAACATAGCCTGGATCTGATTGACTTGTTAATGGTGAGGATTATATATTTCGATCTAGGAACCGATAAACAAATTGTTTTTCTTCAATTGTCTGAGTAATCTGAGTTGCTCAGTTAAATAGATTTGTGAGTGGATCTGAAGTGAGAGAGAGAAACTAACCTACTACAAACCGAGACGGGAAGAATTAATTTTTTCCGGTTTGGTTTCAATTAGTAATTGCTTATGTGTTTTTTTACCCATGCTCTCTGATGCTAGTGTGAATGTTTAAGAAGTGAGAAAACTCAGCTTTATTGTATAAGATACTCACTTCAATTTTTTTTTGAAAATTTTGCATATAAAAATATAGTAACTAAATGCTGATGTGGATATGTTTTTGTTTTTACAATTATTTATATTCAATTTTTATGACAAATTGATAAAATATATTATGATAATTTGGTGTTTTATATTATGTAAATTAATATATCATGCTCGATATTATTATATATGATTATATATTTTATTCTTTTTTATTAAAAACATATCTTAACATATAATTTATTTTTATTTTAATATTTTTATTTAAATTTAAAATAAATAAGAATCAGATTAGAATAGTTTATTTGTTTAATCCGTTTCCTTAAGTTTTTGATGTTTTCTAATGAAAATGGATTATATTTTGTTCATATTTCTTAAGGGTCAAAATTTATTTTTGTGATTTTGTTATTTAAATAAGTTATATTTATTTAATTTAATTTATGAACATAAAACATCAACTGTAAACTAGAAAAACCATATAATTCAATAATATAATTTTTTTATCCTTTTTAATTTTTTTTCTTAAACTTAATATTTTCTAATTGTTATATTTAACTTTAGAAATTAAAAGAATATATTTAAAAATAATTATTGTTTTGATTTAAAATTTAAATAATATCTATTTGTAATATTTTACAAATAATTATGAATTTAAAGCATTATTTAAAATTAATAATCAAAACATTCTATAAAATTTTGTTAATGTAAAATAACAAATTTTCAAAGCTGAAGAGTGCTATAGTAGAATATTCTTATGTATAATGGTATATTTTATTCAAATGATCTAATATATAAATATTATTTTTGATATAATAAAGATTACTAATGAAAAAGTTCAATGACTTTTTATCGGTACATAAAAATAGGATTCTATTTTTATAGATTAGATAGATGATTCTGGTATTTGAAAATTTCGTTCCGATTTTAACTTTAGTTATTTCGGTGATTCGGTTGTTGGGTAAATGCTCAGGCCTGGTCTCTCTTTAAACGCTTAAAGTCAGATAACTCTGTCATGAACAAATACCATAAAATACTATACATGGACAAGTTGACTTTGTGGTCAAAGTACGATAAGTAAATCGTAAAAAAACTACAATTACTTGCTGTTACTAAGAGGCTTAGATCAATGAGCGGCTAGAGAGCACAAGACTTCCCGAACTGATTCTGTGCCTTAGCTTCCACGTTTCATTTAGAATATCCGCACTGTTAGGTCGCTTCATATATTCCGACACATCTATCTTTAGTCTTCTTATGGGACTCACAGTCTTTGTGGCCGACTCATATGGGGTCCAGCTTCCTCTGCTACTTATGGTAGCATTGCTCGTCCCTTTCCCACTTGATGAATCCTATCAAGACAACATTCATCTCAGAGAAACTTTCAACGTATCATTTAACTAATCTACAATAGTTTTCTGACTCGTGAGCAGCAGCACGGTCTGTGCAAAAGAAAAACATTACTACCTGAGATGGATCCGATTCCCAGACAAAAGGTTTTGCATTTGGCGTGTGGGGTGACTTGTTAAGGCATGTCAGTGAAGCAGAAGTGTCGTCTGGTTCCCATTGCAACCAAGGAAGCATAACACCGTCCATTTCAACAGGAACACTCTTTGGAACAGTGGTGCTTTGGGAGCTTTGTGATTTGATCAACCCAAAACTTGAACTACTTTCGCTCTTCTCATCTTCAAATGATGAAAAGTCAGTGTCTTCTATGTTCGAAATGAATTCATCGATGAATTGCTCTGCTTCATCTGTCAAACAAATGGATAACCTCCTGCTCCGGTCCTTGCTCCTCTGTAATAAAACCAAAAGATGTTACAAGAAAAAAAGAGATCTGACCATAAGTTGGAGTGAAAATTGTTATGCTTACCTTCCGCATCCTTGATGGCTTTACGTCAGCTTCAGAGCTATTTTCAGTGAGCAACTCTTTCAAGTTCATAGAGAGCTCTCTACCACGCTGCTCCTCCAACATTATCTCAGCCAGCAAATCTCGCTTGCGCTCCTCAGACTACCAATTCAAGGGGAAAAGATGTGTTGTGTGTTTGGTCGTTGATTCCTCATTGAAAGAAGCTATGAAACATATGCACAAAGAGAAGTTGTAGTGTACCTCTTGCAGTTTTGTTGCATAACCTTTCGTAACTGTGGAGATAGCATGGTGATCGTCATGGGATTTTCGCTGGGAACCATAATCAGAGTTCCCCAAAGATTCTCTTTTCTTTGGTGTTACCTGTATTAACATTGTTCATTAACAGACGAGGATCATGTTTCCAAGGAAAGTAATATGCAATACTGCTCAATTTCTGTCATCATTTTCTCATAAATCATTCTAAAGACTTTAGAGCCTCGGATTGGTTTCGAACAGAGAGTGACACTCATGTAATTTAGTTACTGTAGTGCTGAGAAAGACAAAAACGTTTATTATTATTGGTTGAATACCTTATTTTGGGCATATACGGTCCGAATGATCCTCTCAGTTCCATTCTTGCTTGTGCTGGACTCTTTTCCTTCATCATCTGTGACTGCAGAAGAATGGCTCTGTAACAAAACAATTTGAGCGTACAGACAGGAGAATCATATACATAAACATTAATCAAGCCTCAAACAAGAAACATCCATAACAAAAAAATGTCCAACAAAGGTAGAATCTTTAATCTCACGAGTATACAGAGACTTACAGAGTAGCCATCATGATATTTGATTGGATTTTGGTTGAGAGACCTCCTAAGACCCTGTCTATGATCTGAAACTGCAGGTTTACCAGACCCACCATTTAGACTCTTTCCACTCATGACACTTGTCTTCACGTCCCTTGAATTGCTTGAATGCTGCACTTGATCTCCATCACTCTGCACATGTAATATATAGCATGTCCATTCACAATTCTCAATACACAAATAAAAATCATTGCTCATATTAACAAGCCAAATACACACAACAGTGAAAATGCTCATAAGCTGCTTCTAAGAGAAACCAATCTATTTTCCGTAATTGTTACGCAAAATAAATGTGTAACAAGTACGGTTATGTTGGTACAATAATTACAGCTGTAAAAAAACTCGTTGTGGAGTGATAATTATAGCTTCATCCTACAAAAGTTCACTTTATAACTAAAAGTTGAAAAGTTCATGATAAATCGTATAGGGCCCAGAGAGAAACTATAAGATTATCAACTCAAAAATAAAACGATTATACCTCGGAATTGTCAATCCGGCGGCGGACAACAGAAAGCGAGCGTCGCCGCCGCGAATTCTCCTTCTCCCGATCCGCCTCAATTGCCCTACCCCTAATTACACTACCACTGTTCTCCCCGGAATTAACCCTCTCCCGCGGTTGTCTAGACACCGACCTTCGCCGACTCGAATTGCTGCTCCTCGGATCTAATCCACCACTCTTACCGGCAATTTCTCTCGTCGAAGGATTTCTAGACAACGATCTCCGCCGTCTCGAGCTTTCAGTGTCCGCATCCAACCTCCGTAAGCCACCGTTACCACTAGAACCAACCCTAGATACAGACCTTCCGCGCCTCTGCGAATGCGTGACCTCTCCTACTCCTACGTCGTTGGACTTCCTCGAGCCAGATCGTCCTCTCTCGCTGCTGCTAATCCCGCTCTCGCTGGAGAAGGACTCGAAAAACTCGACGGCTAAGTCATCGAGGCTGATTTCACCGAATCCAGAACCTCTCACGGTGTTTACGAATTTGCCCTTTCTCATCGGAGTCACTTCTGGATCCGGATTACGGTGGGAGAAACGGCTCAAGCTCCGGTACCTCCTGGGGACAGACCTCCGTGTTGAGTAGGAGGAGTCGTCGCCGCTCTCAGAAGATTTAGGCTGTGTCGTCGTTCGCTTGGTGGTTGGATTGAGAACGGAAGTCGCCATGGAGAGGACTCTCAGCTGTCTGACTTACTGTAGGAAGAGGAGCGGATGATTCGACATTTTGAATTTTGTTGAGCTGTTCGAGAAATTATATGCATATGCTCCAATTTATTCAATTTTTCTGACTTTCAATCAATTCGAATCTTAATAATATCCATTTTTATTTTATTTTATTAATTTGCATATCTTATTTAAATTTGGGATATTAATTGCAATATTATTCATATATCCCTAATCATTAATTTAATCATAAAGCCAAAAATAATCAGCTAAACAGCACAATCTATAAGCAAAATACAGCAAGTTTGATACCACTTCTAAATTACTCTTAAACGATAATATTTTTTTTAAATAACATAAATTTGTGATAAAAGAAGTAAATTAAATTTCCTAAACTATTCATTTTTAATAATTTACAAAATATTTAGGGGAGTGTACTGAATTAGTGGTTTATGATATTATGGGATTTTGTCAAAATCTCATGTTATTGAATCAATGATTTTAAAAACTATTTCCAAATCAAGTGTTGTTCAAGATGAGATTAGTAAAAAAAAGTAATGAAAACTCATTTGAATCGCATGTTATTCAATTAACAGTTGGTAAAAATGATATCAGATCACATGTTATTTAACTGTAAACAATATTTAAACATAATTTAATACGATAAAGTTTTTAGAAGAGCTGACATACATTTTTAGTTAAAATAGTAAAAATAAATTTTCTAGGATGAGACAAAAAAAATGTTTTGGACACTTCTCTCGAATAGCTCATTTTCAGATTTTTATCACTAAAAAAACTATAAGAAGAAAAATGAACAAAATATATTTTATTAAAAATATTTTATTATAGATCTACAAATATAAAAAATAAAAAAATAAAAAATAATAATTTTATAGTTTCGAATTATGTGTTTACAAATTTAAACTTTTTATTTTTTTCGAAAATTTACATAATATTTTTTAAATATATTTCTAAAATTTTAGTTTGAATTTTTTATTTAGTTATAAAAAATTTAAAACTACACCCCTTAACTCTAAACTTAATCTTAGGTGAACACGTGTATATTCACCTCTTTACAAAAAAATATCATCTTTGTGGAATATATATTTGTGATAGTAAAATTTTAGAGCTATCCTAAAAAAAATCTTTTTTATCATAAATATAGTTCAAAGTGATCAATATTACCTAAATATTTCGTTAAAGAGTAAATAAACATTTATACCCCTATAATTAACTAATCTAAACTAAAAGTTTAGATTTTCAAGGGGTGAGATTTACAATTTTAAATTTTATAAATAATATAAATTAGAATAAAAATTTTAAAATAGTTTCAAATTTTAAAACATAGTTTGAAAATAATTTTAAGAAAATAAATTTATAAAAATGTAGATAAATTTGAAAAAAATATAAATAATATATTTTTAACTTTTTCATTATACTTAATTTTTTAGTTAGTTAAAGAATTATTAATATTTATAGTATTTGCACTCTACACATATAACTTATCACATAATTAGTAATATACCTATCTATGTTTTTTGTCACTGTAGACAATAGATTTATGACTTTTCTACCCCTACTACAATTTAGGCACCAATTACAAAACATCTCTCCCAACTAGGCCTGGGCATTCGGGTAGTCGGGTCGGGTGCGGATCGGATCCTTTCGGATCCGGGTCTTTCGGGTCTAGGAGTTTAGGACCCAATAGGGTAATTTCAAAATTTCGGTTCCGGTTCGGTTCGGGTCGTACCGGGTCTGGATCGGGTCGGGTCTTAGATAGTTGGACCCATTCGGGTAATTAGAATTTATTGGTTCGGATTCGGTTCGGTTCTGGGTCGGGTTCGGTTCGGGTTCGACCTAAAAAATACCTAAATATATAAAAAAATATCTGAAAATATTTATATATCCGAAAATATTCAAATTTTTTTTCAAAATTTATTTTTTATTATATTAAAATGTGTATATATATTAAACTATGCGAGATACAACAACAATTCGTTGTCTCCTAGTGGTTGACCCCCTTACTCTCTATAGAAACAACCCGCCTTCGACTCCCCCTCAATGCATTTTATATAATTTACACTATTAATTCGGGTACCCATCGGGTTTCGGGTTCGGTCCGGGTCGGGTCCAAAACCCGCGGGTCTTCCACAACAAGATCCAATAGGATAATTTGATCGGGCCGGTTCCTACCCGAACCGAGTTTTTTCGGGTCGATTTCGGGTCGGGTCTTCGGGTCGGGGTACAATGCCCAGGCCTACTCCCAACCAGATTTTCTATTGAGATTTTTTTTCCTAGATTACCTAATCTTATACGAAAATTTTCATACAAGTTGGTTTTCTTTTTTAACCATCATCGTCTTCTGCTTCTTCTCCTCACCACCTTAACAAAAATGATTCCTTCTCTCTCTTGAAGCTTCTTCCAACGATGATGTTTATACTAATTTCTTTTTTAATTATATTAAAATTAAATTCATTATAATCCAAGCCATAAAAAGGATAATGGAGCTCGTACAACACAACGGTAAAACAACAGTACTAGATTACAGATATAATGATTAAGCCTAAAAAATCCAAGAAAAGAGACGAGAAATTGGTATGGTGAGAAGTCCGAGGAGCTTGCTCCATACAACCGGTGAACACCGGCAGCAAACACAGCAAAAAGTCGAGGATTCACGGATCCGGTGGTCCAAGATCAGATCTCGATCCACCGCCATATATCATTGGGAATAGCCACCCCAAAGTTGTCATGAGCCGTGACGCCTCCACCCACGAAGAAGCAGTGATCTTTGAGAGAAAAAGAGAGTACTGCGCGTGAGTTACAATCGCCACTCAAAGGCTCATTATTAAAGGTTTTGTTAGGCTATTAGTGCTAGTTTTAGTGAGGCTGAGGTGTCTGAACAAAAATTTCTGGATGTAAAGGATGAAGTAGTTGAAGAAGAATTGACGATGGTGTTTCCAGCGACTAAGCACAAAAAATTAGCAAGAATTAAAATCTTTAACATACAAATATCTAGTTAGCTATCTAGAAGAAATATAGTTTTGGATATAATAAGTACCAACTTGTTATAATACATGTTATAAATCATATTGGCCGTCTAATTAAAGTATGTAACCTTTTTTCTTTTGGAACATCATATGTAACCTCTCAATCAGCTCATATTATATACATTCTATCATGTATTACATTATGTAATTCTACTGCTATAATTTAACATAGCCATCTAAATAGTCATTTAACAAATTATAGTATATAAGCAATGTTACATATAGAATTCGAACAAATTTTATACCAAATAATTTAATTGTTAACCATGTAACTATTTTATTAACTATCTAACAATTTAATATTACCAACTAATCAAATTTTTATCCAACTAACTCGTTTTTTAAACGTGTATATATTATATTAGCTGTTCACAATTTGATAATACCAACTATTACATATGTCTGAACATTATTTGTATGTTCGTTTCATATATCATAGCTATCATCTTAATTTCTTATGGTAATAGTTTAGAATTATGAATCAAAGTTGTCCTATATTTTGCATAGACAACTATTACTTAATATAGCCAGCTAAATAGTCAATTTACTAGTTACAGTACATGCTATAATTTAATGAGTTGATTACAGAATAAGACACTTTGTTCTTTTTTTTAATAGAATAAGACACATCACACTTGAAGAGCACTTTCTCCTACTCTCCTCCTATGTGTTTATACACATATGCCCTTTTGGTGTGGTTAAGAAAGGTAAGAGATGAGTTAGTTTTAATAGTATAACTAGGTGACCTACCCGCACCCTGTGCGGGTATAAAAATATAGTATAATGCTGAGACATGAGTATCTATTGAGTTCAAATATGGGAGTTAGTAAAACAAGTAAGAGTTTCAATGCTGAGATAAGATTTGAGCAAATCTCTAGGATGTAGTAGGGGTGGGCAAATCGTTACTTTTTCGGTTTGGTTTGTTTAGTTCGGTTTTAATATATTTTTTTCAACTGAAATAAACGTTATTTAGTCTGGTTCGGTGTGGTTTATGTCCAGCTCAAGTTATATTCAGTTCGATTTGTTTTTGGATCGGTTTAATTAGTCTCTTTGTCGCTTAATTTTTTAAAAGAAAAATTATGTTTTAAAATATATACACATAAAGTATGTGAACTAAATTCAATATTAAACTGAAACAAAAACTAAAAAAGTCACAAAAAGTATGTAAGAATAAAACAAATGAAAGTTAACTAAAGCAAAAAAAATTAACATCATTAGTATGCTTTTAATAAAAGTTAACTATTAAAAAAACAAATGTAAGAAAAATATACAGGAGACAGTGACATATTAAAAAATGTGATAAAAATCTCATAGATATCAAAATCCCATAGAAAATGTGATAAAAGTTTAAATATAATTCATAAGTAATATAAAATAAGAAGAACAATTATAAATAAAAAAAATCCCATAGAAACCTGCAAAAAATTGTCAATTTTTTAGCAATTGTACAATATAAAATAATTAATAGATTTCTAAATTTTATCGAGACGAAAATAATATTGAATTCGCATATCGCTATTGAAACAAACTGAAAAATGGTTTGTAATCAACTACAAACGGGCTTTCATCTGTGTTATTTATCTGTTAATAGAAAAACAAACAAATGTATATATATGTAGTAAATTACATTTTTAAGATCCATATTTATATATATATATATATATATATATATATAATTAAGATAATAGTTTTGACTTTTTTAAATCTCAAATCACCATTATATTTGTGGTTTTCTAAATGGATAATAGTTTTGCGTTTTTCTAACTCAAATCACTATTATCTTATAAATTTGTGCAAGTAATTGATAGCAAAATAAGGTAATCATCATATTTCCGAATTAACTAATTAGGAAATAAACAACATACACATTTAATGCAATATCACATGTATATAGTTACTAATAAATGACATCATAAAAGAACAAGAAATTTACTTAATAGGCATATATTTTCACAAAATTTAACTTCTAAATTTGTCAATTAAATGTATATTTAAAAAAATACTTCCTAAAAAGATTATTGGTTTAGAATTATATATAATAAAAAATTCAGAATATATCAAATTTAAAGAATAATTATGAATTAATAATCATAT